TGATGTGTCATCTTTCGATGACACTCCGCCGCAACGTCGGGAATCGACGTTCCCAGCGGAGATCGGGTCTCCGACAGGAGTCCGACTCCCTCGTTCCCAACCTACCAATCCTCCCACCACTTTTCCCACCGTAGATGTGATCTACGATGGTCAATTTCGTCTTACATTCCCATGCGGTACATTCTCAATCCCCGTTGTCGGAGACTGTGACTCATGATAGCAATTGCGGGAAGAACGGTATATAAGCCGAAGAATCCCAGGTTCGAGGTCCGCGTTCAACTGTGCCGCCTGACGCGATTCGTTGTCTCCCGCGATCTACTTCGTCTCACCGGTGATCTACTTCGTTCCCCTTGTGATCGACTTAATTCTACGCTCGTGCGCCTGTAACTGATATCCCGTACGTGCAATAAAACTTCTCTTACTTTGGTCTGACCCGACACCTTCCAGGGGTAATTCGATCTACTGACATACGCGGTACCCAGGTTCAATAACCACACTTTTTCTAATATATACTTTTATTAATAAAAAGGAAATTACATCCAGTCAAATGTCAAATAACGAAAACCCTGGACACCGGTTTTTTTTGCTCTGACTTCAAGCAATTGGCAGTCGTTTTTTTTTCAGTGCAGTTTCAGTGTGAGCAGTTGAAAATGATTTGATTTGTTGACTTGGTATTCAAAACTTGTTATACATTGAAGGCGCCCGAAGTAGGCAAATGAAGAACAAGAGAACGCGAGACGAATACCACTGTAGGGGAGGGTGCTCGGAAGAAAAGGAATACGAAATATGTGGTAAAAAGTTTGGTCAGACCTCAAAAATTATGCTAAGTTCCCTTTGAGAGGCACAGAATCCAGCCAAAAAAAAGAGAAAAAAAAACAAAGGCAAACATTAGCTTTGCACTATTAAACTGTAAAGCCAGAACAAAAAATGAATAAAGTGAGAAACAGAAAATCTGGTACTAAAAACAGATAAACAGTGGCGCACACCAGCGCAGCCGATGCAATCATGCATTTTGTGCAATTCCGCCCACCGAACGATTGTTTGCTAAGGAATTTCACTGCTTTGCAACTTGGTTTGTGCAAAAATAGTTAAAATGTTGTCTGGTTCCTAAGTTGCGAAGCTTCTTAATAAAAATTTCACGCAGTGGTATGTGAAAGCTAAATTCGAAACCTCGAAGGGTGAAAATTCTTCTAGCACGAGAACGCAGAATTTAAATCTGAGAGGTGCACATCCATGAAATTTCAGCTTCCTAGCTTCCGTGGTTCCCGAGATAACAGTTTCCCCGCCAATACTTTTACGGGGGCGTTTGTGTTAACCGCGTTTTAATTCAAATTTGCGGGGTCACATATGGGTGGGGAACATTCCCCAAAATTTTCAGCTTTCTAGCTTTTGTGGTTCCGAGTTGAAAGTTGCGGACAAGTTGTTGCGGACACAGACAACCCCGTGACAATATACGTTTGTGCAGCTGCTGCACAGCACAAAACGCACAAAAAACCATACCTAAGCAAACAGGGTGCAAAAATAAGATAAAAAAGAAGCGATTCAGAGGTATAAATTTGGACAAACAATTCGAAGAAATCTAATTTGCACGCATTTGCTCAACCGAAGAAGCGGCACAACACTTCGAAAAACTCAAAAATTCGAGGTATTTTCACGCAGGAAAGCCGCCAACCTTCAATGACCTAAGTGTATCGGCAGCCATCTCTTTTGCATATAGGTTCACATCGTGACCAGTG